TACAGTTTAAAATCTCAATTAATACTCCCAACCCCTTCTTCTCCCACCCCCTTTTCCATGTAGTCTTGGCTGGCCAGAAACTTGTTATATAGATCATAGTAACCCCAAACTCACAGAAATCTGCCTGTCTCTGCCTCCCAAGTGCTTGGATTAAAGATATACATTAATGTTGTGGGAGATCCTTCCGCTCCTTCAGCCAATAGCCATTGAGATACCAGCCCATTGGGATGTGGTCTCTCTCCCTTTAAAAAAGTGGCCACTTCCCTCTTCTCTCTCTTGCTTCCTGCTCTGCTTCAGGCGACTAGACACCCTCCTGATTGCACAGAGGGCTGTTGTCTGGGACGGTGATCTCTAAGTTTTTTCCCCTTTAAATAAATAACCATTCTATTAATCATAATTCCAAACTGGTGTGGGATTGTTTGTGACTTAAGCCTTCGCCTTCACATTAACTAGGCCTGGCCTAAGCTTTTTTATAGTTAAAAATTTTTTTTATTATGTGTGTGTGTGTGTGTGTGCACACTCATATGTGAGTGTGGGGCCCTCAGAGGCAAGACAAGGGTGTAGGAGTCACCAGAGCTGGAGTTATAGGCAATTATGATGGAGAAGCTGCCAAACTTGGAGAGCAACACACCCTCTTAACCATTGAGCCTTCTCTCTAGCCTGTATACTCCCAACTCTTGAAGACAGTATCTCTCATTTTCCAGAAGAGGAACTAGGAAGATTAAGCAACATTAGCGTAACACTAGCACTAAACAGAGTCAAGAAATATTATCTCAAAGCTAGCCTTTCCTCTGGCAAGTAGGACACTGAGAATCGGCTTTAAGTAAAGTAGTAAAATAACTACAGGAAAATGGGGTATTGTAGGAACCCCTAAAAATGACAGAAGGAAAAAAAAAGTTCTATTACTTATTGCAAGGCACAGCAATGCTAGTAGTCAGAGCTGACCTAACTCCAGCACTGTCAGCTCCTGATTTCCACTGTATTCTCATACTAAGATTCTGGCCAGGTAGTGGTGGCACACGCCTTTAATCCAAACACTTGAGAAGCTGAGGCCAACTGATCTCTGTAAATTCAAGACCAGGCTCGTCTACAGAATGAATTCCAGGACAGCCAGGGAGGTTACACAGAGAAACCCTGTCTTGAAAAGCCCCTCCACCCCCGAAAGGATTTGAAGTCATGCCTGTAAATGTTCCGGTGCTTTTCTCTCTAGGAAGCCATTCTGAACTGTAAGAACACTAAGGTGGGAATCTCATGTCCTTTAAGACATGGGGCAGTGCTGCCACCGTGTGGGACAGCCTGAGAAAAGGTGGAAGAAAATCACTCAAACAAGGGACAAGGACTCATATCCACAATTAGAGAAAGAAGATGACTTCGTAGTAATTAATGGTGTACAGATAATTAAAGAATTTCATGTATTCAGTTCTAAACCATTTTGAAACATGAAAACACAACAGACCTAACGCGTGTGGGGTATGTATACACTTAAGCTTGTTTCTTCACATAAATCCATGAAGGTGGTGATCAGGAATAGGTTTGGGACTCGGAGCCAGGCTGCAATCCTGGCTGAATTACAACTAGCCACATCCTATCGAGACAGCAGCCTCTGGAATGCACATCTCTTGATCTGAAACATGGAAAGTCTTCTGCTTCAGACAGACATGAAAACAAGTGAAATAGTTTACATAAAAGCACCCATCATTGTGCCTAGCACACAGGCATTACAAATTAAATATTCCTTTTTGAGAGAAACAAAAGCCTCAGAAGCTTCTGAGTTGTTTGAGGAGTGTGCTCCGCACCACCACTAGACCTTGAATGTCACTGTCGCTCATGCACTTGGTCTACTTGTTATTTACATCTGATCCCACCAATAAAAGGAAAACCAGGGCGCTAATGCTAGCGTTTACTTAAGGTTACTTCCCAGTAACTGTAAGTCAACAATAAGAGACACTAAAATAGTCTAGGGGGATGTGAAGAAAATGGTTTCTTTCAGTGGGAGAGGCCTCCCAGAATGTGCGTTTCTCATAAGCCTACGAAGTAACCTTAACTTATTTTCTATAAGTCTCCTCAAACATACTTGTAAAATCTCTTCAAATCACCTCTCCATTTGTTGTTATAAAAACAAGTTAAAGAGTGTCACCAACAGTCAGGAGTGATGGTAACCCCAGACGTCAAGAGTCTGAGATGTTGAGACTGACAGTTCAAGGCTGACCGCGGCTGCATTCTGGACTGGACAGTGAAAACAAACAACGGCGACAACTCTTGGGAACATTGGTTTAGTGTATATACTATATTAAGTTTCAATAGAAACCATCCACCAATGCCTGTTTAAATTACATACAACCAGGTAATGAAGGAAACAAGTAGGATTAGACTATATTGATAGTTATTTAATCTGGCAAAGATAAATAAATCCATTTATTATATTTGTGAAAAGTACTAAGCACTGTATTTAAAAAAAAAAAATCAAGACCTCTCCTCTGCAGAGGAAGCTTAGATGAGGTCAGCAAACTAGGCATGCACACTGCCAGCTGACCTGATACAGATCTTCCAAGGTTACCTGGATCTCAAATCCTGTTTCCTCACAAACAAAAACCTGATTGCTGTGCTTTCCATTCCTCACACTCTAAAATTTAACAGGTTCCATATGGAAGAATTACATGAGTGTAGAGGTGCCTTTTCCCCTTCAACCTAGAATTGTTTGTGGGAGTCGGAGTTTATTTTTTGCCTCAATCCATTCTTAGCTTCACTGAATATTTAATAGGTTTCCACAGGGTACAAGATATTCCGCCTGTCTAGTTGGTGCTTAGAACTTTATCACCTCGTCTGTCCTTGGATAGAGAATTTCAAAGATGACAGAATGACAGAGTGAACCACCAACAATGGCAAAGGTGCACTGGTGCCAGCTAAGCAGTCCACTAAAACTGGCATTGCTAGGACTGTGAGAAGGCTTCGCACTAATGACGCTTAAAACCAAGAGACCAAGGATCTGAGTTTGATCCCTGGAACTCACATTGTAGGAAAAGAGAGCCACAGCACACCATGGCAATACTCACTTCAACACGCACACACGCACACATGCAAAGTAATGTAAAAAGAAAAAAAAGTATGGCTATACAGACTCAATTCTTTATATAATTTTTAAAAAGGGTGCCGGGTGGTACTGCATGGGAAAGTAAACCAAAAAGTAGGGTTCATCTTCTAATAGTGGTGATGACACCTTATTGGAAGTCATTGTTCCAGTTCTTCCACACCTACTCTTAATCCTGCAAAGTGCTTGAACAGTCCCTGATTGACACTCAGCACATGTGTACCTTTAAAAAGTGTACGTTACAAGCTTCATCCTTGGCTTCTGTTACACTAGAAGGATAATAACGCCAAAGGCATGGAACAAGATGAACAAGCAAGACCTCAAAGCACAGACTGGAGCAGAGTTTTTGCCAGGGAAAGATGATACCTAATTCAGGTAAATTCCAACTCACTCTCCACTCATAAAAGTTTAATATGTTATATATAATATGTACTCACTCAAAAGTGGATATTAGACATAAAGCAAAGGATAAGCAACCTATAATCTGCAACCCCAGAGAACCTAGACAACAAAAAGGACCCTAAGAGAGACATACATGGATCCACCTAGGAAGGAGAAAAAGATAAGGTCTCCCGAGTAAGTTGAGAGCATGGGGGGTAGGGAGGAGGGTGGAAGGGAAGACAGGAGAGATGATGTGGGATTCCTCTTTGTATATTATAAATATGTTTTATTACCATTAGTTAATAAAGAAGCTACTTTGGCCTATGGCAGGGCAGAATATAGTTAGGCAGGAAAACTAAACTGAATGCAGGCAGATGCCATGTAGCCACCAAAGGAGAAAGATTTAAGAACATTACTAGTAAATCACAGTCTTGGGGCGATACATAGATTAATAGAAATGGGTTAATTTAAGATGCAAGAACTAGTTAGGAATATACCTGAGACATTGGCCAAACAGTATTATAATTAATACAGTTTCTGTGTGATTATTGGGTCCAGATGGCCAGGATGTGAAAGTACAGTCTCTGATTACAGGGAGGAAAGAAGGGGGGGTGGGAAAAATGTATAGATAATAAAAATAAATAAAAACTAACAACAACAAAAAACATTACATTACTTATTATCTCTTAATGTAATTCATCTTCAAAGAACTATTGTACCAAAAAAAAAAAAAATTACTTAGCAGGGGTGGTGACGCATACCCATGCTCAGACAAGACAGTGAAATCTTGTCTCAAAAAGAAAGAAAAAGTCAAAGTCAAGTGTGGCAAACGCCTGTAATCCCAGCACTTGAGAGGCAAGGGAGTTCAACACCAGCTACATAACAAGTTAGAAGCCATCCTAAATATATGAAGTCTTATTTCAACATACAAACAGAATGTTGGGGGATATACTTTAAGGAAAGTGGCCAATAATCTTCCATCTTCTCAGTACCAATACTTGGTAACCAATCACTCAATTTAAATAAACTTAATTTAATAATAATCTGTCATTTGGGACCTGATCTCCTTTCATTACATAAACAAAATATAAAGATGTCAAGAAGGAAATAAACTCCAGCTTTGAGATGGGGCTTTAGCTGGGAAATAAGGTACTTGCACAAGGTTCTGGGTTTAATCCTCAGCACTGCCAAAACCAAACAAATTAAAAAAAAAAAATTAAGCGTTATATTCTGGCTGCTAAATACACAGAACACAATCAATTTTATCTTAGAGTTCTTTGAGAATACATTACAATAGTTGGTAAATACAGATTATTTTGATTTAGTTTTAATTTCGTACAGATCACTATCTGAAAAACTAATTCTAAAAATAAAAACACCCAGGGATATGAAGTATATCATCTATATATTACACAAAACTATTTCCCACAACTACCCTGTGGTCAATGTCTCAAAGAAAACATGTGCTAGGCACACCTCGGAAAGGGCTCATTTTAAATGTTGCTCTCTTCATAAAAGCACAATGAATTACCATTGGATTTGAATCTGCTATGAGATCCCGCAGAGAATCCAGAAATCCCTGGTCTTCCACCATCTGGGCATTGATATCATGGAGTTTTGCCACACAGACTGCTGCTGTTTTCCGAACATAGGGGTCTTCATCTTTCAAGCACTTGCGGAGGGGTTCACAGAGATATTCTGTAATCTTGTCCACCCGGATACACCCCATGGTTCTAACTGCCAATGCTCGAATCAAAGGATTAGGATCTTCACAATCCTACCAAAGAAAAAAGGAAAAAGCAACTACATGAATACAAGATGATTACAAGTAAATACTCCAGTTGACATAAACCTTGCAAGTTTCTAGTATATTCTACATGAGAATCCAATCTCTCATGCTATTCTTTTCCTAAAGGTCTTAGTTGTCTACTCAAGAGCTTAGGGAAAAAAAGTTGTTTTTTGTTTTTTAAGAAATTTATCAAGGCTGGAGAGGTGGCTCAGAGGTTAAAAGTACTTGTTCTTGCAGAGGACCTAGATTTGATTCCCAGCACTCACATGGCAGCTCACAACCACCCATAATTCCAGTTCCAGGGGACCCAAGCTCTGTAGGCACCAAGCATGTGCATGGTACACAGACACATGTAAACAAAACACTCACACACATTAAATAAATCTAAAATAAAGTAAGGATTTATGCTATGAATGTGTACAGGTGCCATGTGCTTACTTACGTAAAGGTACCCACAGAGGCCACAAGAGGGTGTCAAAGCCCCTGCAACTGGAGTTACAAGGGGTTATGAGCTACCGCATGTGAGTGCTGGGAATAGAACTTGGGTCCTCTGCAAGAGCAGCAAGTGCTCTTAACCACAAAGCCATCTCTCCGGCCCCAGAAAGAAACCTTTTAAGTGCTGCATACACACAATGAGGAAAGGTCCAACAGGACTCAATCTTACTAGGCACGAGTCTAGTAAGTCGGTGTGGCCACCCCTAGAACTATTAGTGGACTTGCCTAACAGAAATGACCCCCTTTCTTCTATTCTTGTTCAGGAAAAAAGACAGAATTGGAAAGGTTATGTCACCTCCACTGTCAATCTGTAACAACCAAGTAAAAAAAGAACACAACTGCAGGAGGCCTACAGAACAAAACAAAGATGTGCTATGATCTGGCTGGGGCCTGACAGAAGCACATGTCCAGCTAAGCAGCAAAGTGGGCTTTCTGGGTCATCAGCAGCAAGCAGTCTCCTTTACAACAGTTTTTCCAAACAAAGCATTGGCAAAACACTGACAGAGAATAAATGTTTTGTCTGCATGTATGCCTGCATGCCAGAAGAGGGCACCAGATCTCATTATAGATGATTGTAAACCATCATGTGGTTGCTGGGAATTGAACTCAGGACCTCTGGCAGCCAGTACTCTTAACCTCTGAGCCACCTCTCCAACCTTGATAAATTTTTTTTATCTCTCTTTTTATTTGTTTGTTTGTTTGTTTATGAGGCAGGGTTTCTTTGTGCAGCTCTGGTTTTCCCAGAACAGGCTGGCCTTGAACTCATTAGATCAACTGCCTCTGCCTCCCAAGTGCTGGGATTAGAGGCACCTGTCATAACCTGGCCAAGAATACTTTCTTAAAATTCCTGTCTCAACAATTTCTTTAGGATGGGCATGGTGGTGCATGCCTTTAATCCTAGCACCCTAGAGACAGAAGCAGGTGGATCTCTGAGTTTGAGGTTAGCCTAGTCTCATCAGCAAGATTTAGGATAGTCAGGCCTAGACAGTAAAACTTTGTCTCAAAATAAGAAAAAAAACTCTCTTCAAGTCATGTACATTTATGCTCAACTCTTTCAAAAATCTAAACAAAAATCTTCCCTATAATATATTCTACCAAAGGATCATTTGCCCCCTCCCCCCCCCAAAAAAATTGAAAAGTTGTGGTCTGTGTGCAAATGTAGAAAACCACGAGGGAAAAGCCTATAAAAAGTTTACCAGTGCCGGGGATGGTGGCGCACGCCTTTAATCCCAGCACTTGGGAGGCAGAGGCAGGTGGAGCTCTGTGAGTTCGAGACCAGCCTAGTCTACAGAGCTAGTTCCAGGACAGGCTCCAAAGCCACAGAGAAACCCTGTCTCAAAAAAAGAAAAAAAAAAAAAGAAAAAGAAAAAGTTTACCAGTTATTTTTCAAAGTTCAAACAGAGGTTAATTTTGGAAATGGCTGATGTTTTTAAAAGGCAGAATCTAGCACCTCCAAGCCCATCCCAGCTAATGACAGAAAACTGCGCAGTGGCAGCAAGGAAACTGTATCACTCCTTATTAGTTAGGATTTCTGAGACAGGGTCTCCTGCGGCTAGGCAGGCTTCAAACTCACGAAGTTTGGCGTTGTCAGTTTTAGAGGCTGTGACAATAGTAGTGAGGTCATGATTTTAAAAACAGATCCTAGTCAGGTGTGGCAGCCCATGCCTAGAACTCTAGCACATGGATGGGAGCGGAGAATGAGAGGAGGCTAAGGGAGGAGGCTCAGCCTGGGCTAGAGAGGAAGACCCTGGGCTAGGGAGGAGAGCAGGATGGAAGAACTGAGATCCTATGGTCTGACTCTGACAAATGTAAGCATGAAAATGATGCTGAGAGAGGGGCTGGGGTCAGAAAAGTGTTTTATGTACAGGGGATATAAATTCAACAATAGTGGCCATGTGTCAGTAGTTATTTCTAAAAATAAATCACAAGATGAATATTTTACTATTTCTCCTACGTGAATATTTTTAATTTGCATAATAAAAATAGTTAATCATGGGTTGAAGGGAGGCTCAGCAGTTAAAAGCACCTGCTGTTTTTTCTAGAGGATCCATGTTCAGTTCCTAGAACCCATATCAGGAGTTTATAACAGCCTGTAACTCCAGCTCCAGAGGATCCAAACTCTTTTGGCCTCTGCACTCACATACAAATAAATAACAAAATAAATCCTTAAAAAATACTTAATCCAATGTTGTAAGGCCTACCGAATCAAAGACAAGTAGCACCTCCTGCAGTAGTGTTTCTGAGTCCTAACCCTAATTCCCAGGAAAGATAGAACAAATCCTCAGGTAACAATATGATGGTTTGTCCAACCTCTGTCAGCAGCTATCTATTAGGATGAAATACCCTACGCCCGTTAGCCGTGGAAGCAAGACACTGAGGCTCACCAGGCTTTCTTCTATTCATCTGGCAAGGATGGAAGGACCAAGCCCCACAACAGAAGGCTTGTCATGTGGTTTCAATGTCCCTGGCTGCTCTGTGCTGGTGTACAGACGCTTACAAAGTGAAAGTCCTGCCCTCTGCTAGGACTTCCCTGCAGGACTTTGTCCCCAGAACACAGGTTTCTATCTGCAGTGCAGACACAAATGAAGGAAAGCCACTCTGAAGATTGAGTCCTTGGGAAAACTACCTTCACAAAGCTGTTGACAGCCATGATGGCCATGTCTGGCTGACTCTTGGCATAGTTCATCAGATAGAGGTACACCAGCTTCTTCAGTTCCAGGTTGTCAGTCTGCATACAGTTCACCACATCTGGGAAGAGAGAGCTGAGGAGAGAGGAAGAAATGAGTGAAGCAGTGTCTGTGCTAAGCTGTTCACAGACAATGAGGTTGGCCTTGGATTCCAGAGCCATTTGACAAGAGGACAATGGTGACAATTCATTTTCACGGAAATGAGTAATTAAAATAAAAATAAGCCAGGCAGTGGTGGTGCACACATTTAATTCCAGCACTTGGGAGGCAGAAGCAGGTGGGTCTCTGTGAGTTTGAGGCCAGACTGGTCTACAAAGTGAGTTCCAGGACAGTTAGGACTGTTAGACAGAAAAACCCTGTTTGAAAACCAATCAACCAACTGATCAATCAATCAATCAATCGTACCACAGACTGTCTGCTCTCTAGATTGTTTAGTTTTGTAGTGCATAGGCTGAACTCAGGGCCTTGTGCGTGGTTTCAAGAACTTTACTACTGAGCTATATATATCCTTAGTTCTTTCTCTCAAAGCTTCTGTGGAGTGGAGAAACTATTATGAAAAATTTGAGAGCAACAGAATGAGCCCAACATCTACATTACCCACAAATGCTGATACAGCTCCATTCTGACTCACATATACCCTCAAACCTCATTCCCACTACTGACTCTAGATTCCTTGTTCAGTGACAGAGACAAAACCCAGAGCCTTACACATCCTAGGGAAGTGCTTTGTTACTGACCTATGTTCCAAATCCTGGAAAGATTTTAAAATGAATCACAGATATATTTCTTACCGAGCCACATGCCTAGGGCTTGGCTCTCTGAGCAGGGTCTATAGTTTAGGGGACCTGAAACTTACTATGTAGGCAGAAGACCTTGATCTCACTATTCTCCTACCTCAGTTCCCCAAGGGCTGGGACTTCAGATGTGAACCACCACACTCAGCTTACATTCTGTTTTTTTCATCTATAATAAGCTAGGCATATTTAAAAAAAAAAAAAGCTTTATTAAACTGAAAGAAAAAATAACAATTTTCACATCAGTTCATGGTGGTATCAAAGCATTCCAATGCTTTAATGCTCATTTTCCTCCACCCTTGACCAGTAGGAACTTAGGTGGCGCCCAGGTTCTTGTGATATGACCCTATATTTTCAAATGTTTCTATGATTTTTCAAATGTTCAAGTTTTAAATTTTTAATCAAGATCTGGAATCAATCATTTCTCCAAAGTGTCCTCATTCCCTTTGGGGAGAATTTATTTACTTTAGAAAGTACTATACATTTACAATTGAGGTATTATCAAACAAGTGGTCTATAAATTTCCCAATACCAGCCATCATTTCACAGCCTACCATTCTCTTATAAGAAATGGAATGTCTAGATGCACTCATAAAATAGCATCATTAGCCTTAAAGGACTAAACTCCAAGTCAGGCTTCTAAAATGAGCCATATTTTAAAAATACAAGTTAACTAGAAAGTTAGCAAACAGCCTTTCCAAAGCTTTATTAGAATACTTTGTAGACTCTAGTTTTACATATATTACAAATATAGGGGAAAAACCCACAAATGTCAGTATATTTTGCATAATATGTCTTGTATACACACAAAAGCATAATACAGAAACTTTTCTAAGTCATAAACATGGTATCATTTTTTTAAAAAGAAATACTCAAGTGTATCTGGTCTGTGCAGATATGGAGGAACCACATGGACCCTAGTGACTGGTTTCAGATCATCAGGCCATCTCTCTGGCCTTAAAGAGATGCAGAAAGGCTGCAAAAGCAGTGAGTAATTACAAAACATTATCCAACGGTATGCTTACAACCCTAAGTAATTCTAACAACCTTCACAAGAAGACTGAAGCTGGGCACACTGGTGCATGCTTGAACCCCAGCTTCTGGGAGGCTGAGGCAGGAAGACTGCAAGTTCAAGGCCTGCTTGTGCTTCAGGGAGAGTTCAAAGCCACTGCAACATAGTGAGACTCTCTTGAAATAAAAAGGAAAAAGAAGGCTGGGAAGGAGTTTAGTGAAGAAGGACTTGCCTATTGTAGGCAAGGCCCTAGGTTCAATTTTCAGCACCAACAAGAGAAAATTATACCAGACTTCAAAGGTTTATTATTATTACTTCAAGAGGAATAACTAGCACTTCAAAACTTTCTCAGTTTTTCCTGTTTGAATGTCAGTAAGTATAAATCATACAAACAAAAGTTTTCTGGAGATCTCAGGGAAAGTGAATGCCGAGACCAAAGGCTCAGAGCTGTCCCCATAAACAACAGTAAGCCCAGATATCAGTGGTGGGACAGGAGGCCGCTCAGCATCTTCTGATGCTCCTGATGCCCTGAGGAAGGTTTCTCCTAGTCCTGTCTCATAAAAGGACAAGACAGTAAATATTTTAGGCTTAGTAGACCAAGAATTCACTTAAATTAACAAACATAAGCCAGGCATAGTAACACACACCTTTAATTCCAGAACATGGGAGGCAGAGACAGGGGAATCTCTGTGAGTTTGAGACCAGTCTGGTCTACATAGTGAGTTCCAGGAAGGCCAGAGGTATGTAATAGAAAGACTTTATCTCAAAAATAAAATAAAGGGCTGGAGAGATGGCTCAGAGGTTAAGAGCACTGACTGCTCTTCAAGAGGTCCTGAGTTCAATTCCCAGCAACCACATGGTGGCTCACAGCCATCTGTAATGAGATCTGATGTCCTCTTCTGGCCAGCAAGGATATAGACAGACAGAACACTGTATACATAATAAATAAATAAATAAATCTTTAAAAAAAATAAATCTTAAGCCCATTTCATAAATTATTTTAAAGTGAGTATTTTAATCAAAAAAGATGGCAGTGCTTTACATTTTGCTTACTGTTTGTGTGTGTTTGTGGGCATTCATGCTACAGCACATATGCAGAGATCTGAGATAACCTGCTAAAAGTGGTTCTCTGCTGGGTTCAGGGGAACCAATGGGTCATCAGGCTCTGCAGCAAACGACTTTACCCACTGATCCACCTCATCAGACCCTTGTTTACACATTCATAAAGCTCTACAAGACCTAGTTAAGTAGAAACAACGGGAGCCTTATTACTACCTCTGCTATGGGATGTTTTAGCTGAAGTATAAGAAAATTCAGCTTCATATGAATATATGACTCAAAAAAAGAAAAAATAGTTTAGTATCTTTTTCAAATAAATAGATAATGTTCTCTCTCTATATATATATATACATACACACACATATATATTTATTTTATACAAATAGTGTTTTGTCTGCATGTATGCATGTGCACCACATGTATATCTGATGTCTGAGGAGGTCACAAGGTGTTGAGAGTGTTGGATCTTCTGGGTGCTGGGAACTGAACCCAGGTTCTTTGCAAGAGCAACAAGTACTCTTAACCACCGAGCCATTTCTCCAGCCCCCTAATCACACACAGTATATTAAAATCACAGCTTACACACACACACACACACACACACATGTACACACACATACATGGGCTGGCAGGATGGCTTAGCAAACAGCATCCTTATACATGGGCTGCACGGCCTGATTTAATCCAGGACTCCACAGGTGGCAGGAGAGAACAGACTCTTGAGAATTGTGCTCTAATGTCCACATTAAAAAATAGCTATTGAATAAAATAAAATTTTACTGCATCATCAATGACAATCTTAAATGAAACTGGTTTTGTTTTTTTTTTCTTGTAACTTCTTTTTTCTTGGTAGTGAATGATGTGGGAGTGTCATATATCAATCTGTTGATTTCATTGATTAAGTTATAATAAACCAACTGCTTGGCCTCAGCTTAGAACATAGATGGGAGGAGTAAACAGAATAGAATTCTGGGCGGAAGAGGAAGTGAGGTCAGACTCTGCTCTGCTCCCGGAGAGACCCGACAGCTCTGCTGGAGCAGAGACGCCATGCTCAGCTCTCCTGGGTAGATGCAACGATGGATGGAGGCTAGAATCTTCCCGGTAAGCGCACCTTGGGGTACTTACACACATTATTAGAAATGGGCTAGTCCAGGTGCGAGAATTAGCCTGTAAGGGCTAGAGTTCATGGGCCAAGCAGTTCTTAAATGAATACAGTTTGTGTGTTGTTATTTCGGGCATGAGCTAGCCAAGCGGCCGGGGTGTTGGGGACGCAGCCCCGCCGCTTCTTATTTCAACAAGTGAAAAACAGAAGGACTATGCAGGCCAGCACCATGGCCTTTATCTGGCAATATCACCCACCACTGTTTTCTATCAGCTCAGAATGGTACAGAGGCAGAGAACATACAAATATTAAGAAAGCTTTAGTCTCCTGGACTCAGGAGAGGCCCTTAGAAAGCTGGGGGGGGGGGGGGGGGGGGGGGGAGATGGCTCAGTGATTAAGAGCACTAACTGCTCTTCCAAGAGGTCCAGAGTTCAATTCCCAGCACCCACATGGTGGCTCACAACCATCTATAATGAGATCTGGTGCCCTCTTCTGGCATGTGGACATACATGGAGACAGAATGCTATATACATAATAAATAAATAAAAAAAAAAAAAGAAAGAAAGCTGTGGGGCTGCAGACGACCCTTACTCATTTTAAAGTCTCACTAATCACAAAGATGGAGGCAGTTTTGGTCATGCTGGCTTTCACCTGGAATCTGACAACAGAATGTAGAGTCGTACAGAGGAGGACACCAGCTTAACCCAGTTAAAGAGTATGTGGGCTCAGTAGCTTTTTATCAGCTCCTAAAACTGTCTGAGGCAACAGATATGTACCTGTGCCAGGGCTAAAGACAGTTTACACTAAATCCAAAAGCAACAAAAATGAAAACAGCAAACTAATGAAACACTTAGGTCAGAGCTGATATGGCATGGCCAATTCCTTGTGATGTTTTCAACGGGATAACCCCATTCTAATAGGTTTTTTTTATGTGTTTGCTTTTTTTGAGATAGAGTTGCTATGTTGTCCAAGTTGGGCGCCCAACTCAGACTCAAGTGATCCTCCTGCCTCAGTGTTTCAAGCAGCTGGGAGTACAGACACGCACCACTGTACCTCAGTGGTCTATGGTTTCATAGGAAAGCAGTGAGAACTATAAAAATGGGTTGAGCTCTCCGCGGTGTAAGCGTCATCACCCTTACCTAACATCCTTCCCCACGGTCATAGCAGCAATCACCTTCTTCACAGCCTCCTTCCTCTTTTCTTTCTTTTCATTGTTGAGTTCAGCTTTTAATTCAAAGATTTCTCCTAAAAGAGATGAGAACAAACAGGTGTAGTCTCAGGACTAGAGAACGGGGAGAACACTGCAATATAAAATGACACCAGGATAGCAAGGCAGCCACTGAACTACGATTATTTAAAAATTATGAAATGTGCAATCCAAAGCCCCAGAATATTAACTGACCCACCAACGAAGACTCCATCAATAAATTTTTAAAGCCTTTTAAATCGTCGTCTTTGAAAATGTAATGCAGACCTTTCTTTAGAAAGCCTAAGAGCATCAGCAGTGATGGCACCCACTTTAATCCCAGCACCAGGGAGGCAGAGGCAGGCAGATTTGTGAGTTCAAGGCCAGCCTGGTCTACAGAGTGAGTTCCAGGATAGCCAAGGCTATACAGGGTATTTGAAGGATGATCTCACAGCAGAATTTTAAGGACCTCAAAAGAAAATAAATGTAAAGTGGGGAGCTGGCTTGGGAAGGATTAAGATGTGCAGTCTTAGTGGCAGAAGTGTGTCACTCCAGGAGGGCTTTGAGGTTTCAAAGGGCACCATTCCCGCTGTTCCCTCTCTGCTTCCTATTTGTGGACCTGGATGTGAACGCTCAGCTGCTGCACACCATCACCATCTGCCTGCCTGCACACCATGATGGGGACAGACTCCTATCTCTCTTGAACTGGAAGTCCCAAAGAAGCCCCTCCTTCTGTAAGTTGTCCTGGTCACATTATTCTGTCATAGCAAGAGAAAACTAACTAATACAGTACTGGAAACCTGGTCAAATGCCAGGGCCAGGGAGGCTGTAGGCCATGGCGGGCAATCTATCCCGCTATTCTGCTGTTTTACTATGTTGTCTTCTACATGCTCACATTTATACTCGGGGGTTAGAGCTGTTCTCAATCTTGGTCAGAAAAGCTTTTTTGAATTAGACATTGATTAATGCAGAGTCCAAATTACTCAAAGTGCTGAGAATATGCGATCAAGTCTGCAGCCTTAACCGGAATCTCTATATCAACCACCTTACCTGCCCCATGGCTCATAGAGCATCACAGAAGGAGCAGTGATGGAAACAGCGTATGAGCTGGAGGATGGGGAGGAGGGCTGTTTCTGTGCATGAGATGGCCACTGCATTCTTTAGTTCACAGTTCCTGTGGTTATGTGCACAACAAGGCAGCCAACATTAAAGCATGGATTGGGGAGGCACTCACGAGGCTCAACCCCTAGCTTGGGGGCTGTCGGTAGGTAGGTGTTGACAGCTGAGTCATTTTCTTTGGAGGTGTAGCCACTGAGACTGTCCACACTCTACTAGATGGCTCCCATGATCATGGGCATGAGGGCAGTACCAAACGGATTCAGTGGATTATTAAAAAAAAAAAAAAAAAAGAAGGGGGAAGTGGTCCTGGACATGAAGATACATCATAAGTGTATGAAATCCTCAATAAATACATAGGACTAGTGATATAGCTAAATGGTTAAAGATGCTTCAGAACCTACATGAAGAGAACTGACTTCTGAAAGTCGTCATCTGATTTGCACGTGTGCTGTGTCACAAACCTATCCACATACACACAAACACAATAAACATGAAAATATCACCACCTTTGTCAGAACTTTAAGGGCTCAGTCCCAATCAATTCAATGTGGCCCAGCATGGTGGCACATGTCTGTACTTCTGGCATTTAGGAGGCAAAGGCAGGAAGGAAGACGGCCACAGGTTCAAGGAAGGCTAGCTTTAGTAAGTTACTACTACTTAGTACGTTCCAGGCCAGGTAGGGAGACATGAGATCCTGTCTCAGAAATCAAGAAAAAAGGAGGAGGTCGAGTGAAACTTCAAGTTATTTCTAAAGGATCAGTTCTGAATGGCTACTCAAGAAGTGTCAAAGACTGTTGTCACTATTTTAAGGCGCCATCTCTAGCCTCATTTGTCTTTAGAACACGGGGACAAAGTAAAAAGGCAATGGTCCTAAATGACAAAGGAAAGGGAGACTGGAAGGAGAGCTCCTCCCACCACCATGTTGATGCCTACTTCCACGTCTTCCTTCTATGTCATCCCCCACCTTTTGTTGGTGTTTATTTTGCTTGTGATAAGGCCTGGAATTTACAATGTGAACTAAGATGGCCTCTTAACTCATAGGCAATCCTTCTGCCTCTGCTTTCAGACTGTTAAGACTGCAAGTGTGTGCCGCCTCACCCATCTTTCCCATCTATACCTTCAAACTTGACAATATTACCCCCTTGTCTGGTATGAGAGGCCCTTCTGCATATGTGTTGTTTTTATTGGTTAATGAATAAAGCTGCTTTGGCCTACAGCAGGGCAGAATAGAGTAATATTTTCAATCCAAGCAGATAGAGGAGGAAAGAAGGCAGAGTCAGGGAGACACCATGTAGCTGCCAAAGGAGACAGACATCCTGGAACCTTGCTGGTAAACCAAGAGCCTCATGGTAATAAACAGAATAATAGAAATTGATTACTTTAAGATGTAAGTGCTAGCTAGAAATATCTTTACGCTATTGGCCAAATGGTATTGTAGTTAATATAGTTTCTGTGTGATTAGTTCAGGTCTGGAAGTCTCCGACAGCACTTGTCTACCACCTTCCAGACTGTCCTCAACCAGTCTGCACACTAAGTCGTCTCCCTGAAGCCCTGGCAGGAAGTATACTGACAAGAGACATAAAAATGGAGCACAAAAAAAGCTCGTCTTATCAATATCCATCCCCAGCAGGCAAGCAAATTGTTCTAAAAATCACGACCCCATTTAACTGACAACTACAGAAATAACACTGGCAGAAAGGCCAGGCCTTTAAAAGTGTCATTCTCTTCTTCACCGAGACCTGTGCTGCCAAATGCAGTTCTCAGGGCTCCTGTCATTCACTTCTGGAACAGTGAAGGGCAGACAGCAGGGTTTCAGAAAGTCTGAATTGTGAGCAGCAGCAGAGCTGCAGAATCAAAACAGGAAGTAACTGAAATGATTCCAGAACCAAGCGCAAATGTAAAGAATCCGCTCCAGAGGCGGCTCTGGTGGGCGGCACAGGAAGCAAAAGGAACACGGTCTATCCATTTTCGAAAAACATGGTATTATCTAGCAGTGACTCAACTGGTATGTCTCAAAGTTTCATAAATGTCACCTGCACCTTTACAAGAGAAGGTATGCTAAACTAGTATGTTTTAAAAACCTGTTTAAAAAAAGGTCAGGTGTGGTGTATGACTTTAATCCCAGCACTCAGGAGGCAGAAGCAGGATAATCTCTGTGAACATGAGGCCATCCTGGTCTAGAGAGTGAGATACAGGATAGTCAGGGCTACATAGTGAGATGCTGTCTCAAAAAATAAACAGCAAAAACAAAAACCTTTCTGTCATAATAGATAATATGTTGGTTACCAAAGCACATAAAGTATTAGCAGAAGAAAAAGTAATACATATCCAAATGATTAAGTAGTTAGCTGAAAAGAATAACAAGGACTTAATGGCTCTGTGTGTGTGTGTGTGTGCGCGCCCCGCGAGCATGTGAGATGTATGTGTGGGAGAGATTGCCATACTAAGTGTATAAAGGACAGGGGACAACTTTGTAGAATTGGCTCTCTCCTTCCCTTTACAGGCTTGCTCAACAAGGACCTTTACAAGGACTTTTTCAGTAGCCCTGTTTAATTTTTTTGTTTTGTTTTGTTTTTGTTTTTTGAGACAGAGTTTTTCTCTGTAGCTTTGGAGCCTGTCCTGGAACTAGCTATTGTAGACCAGGCTGGCCTCAAACTCACAGAGATCCGCCTGCCTCTGCCTTCCAAGTGCTGGGATTAAAGGTGTGCGCCACCACCGCCGGGCCTGTTTGATTTGTGAGACAGAGTCTTGCTATGTAGCCCAATCCAGCCTCACAAGCATCCTGCCTCAGCCTCCTAGGTACAGATTCTAGGCATATGCCACCATGACCGGCAAGCTAATGTTTTTTGAGGTGTAAATAATAAAGATAGAGAAGAAACTGAATAGACCTATAAAAACAGGTACTAGGAGAGCCAAGATACCTTGCATACACACTTTATTATCCAGTCCCACTCCTTCCACTAGCCAAATCTACCAAGTGCAGCTAAAAATGGTTCTCTTTGTTGACTACATATTAAAAATGTCTGTAGAGCCTTTAAAATCTCAATATTCAGCCTAACATGGTGATGGATGTGTGTTTGTAACCCCGGCATTTGAAAGGATGTCAGAAAGTGAATTCCAGGCTAACCTGGGGTACAACACAAGTTCTAGGACAACTTTGTTACTCAGTGGTAAGAATCTAACTCAACATTAAATAAACCAGATTAGATAGCAAAGATCAGAACAGAGATTGGAGAGATGGCTCAGAGCTTAGGAGCACTGGCTGCTCTTCCAAAGGACCTGGATTTGATCCCAGTACTGAGATGGCAGCTCACAACAGGCTATAACTCCAGTTCCAGGGAGAATCTGATGTCCTTTTCAGCCTCCACGGCATTAGCCATGCATGTGGTGCACAGACACACAGCAGGTAAAATACCCATACACATAAAATAATAATAATAAATAAACAAATTTTAAAGAAGATCTCCTATCACCAACCACCAAACACAAAACAAACAAATCAACCTTCAAACTGTATCTATCCCACAGTTATGATTTTGATGCATCTGCTTTATAATTCTCTACATAGACACAGACCTTTTTCTTGTATCATTTAAAGCTACATACATCTTTAGCCCTGATATATAACTTGTGTTTTTCAAGGTTAAGAAACTTTCCTTAATTATTTTAATTAAAATATCAATACAGCACCACTACCATGCAACCTAAACGGGCCTTGTTCTTCCCACCCCATGCCCAGCTGTAGGGCACATTCTGCTTAAGAATAAGAATTACATTGCCGGGCGATGGTGGTGCACGCCTTTAATCCCAGCACTCGGGAGGCAGAGGCAGGCAGATCTCTGTGAGTTTGAGGCCAGCCTGGTCTACAGAGCTAGTTCCAGGACAGGCTCCAAAGCCACAGAGAAACCCTGTCTCGAAGAAGAAGAAAAAAAAAAGAATTACATTTATTGGCATGTCTCTTTAGTCTTAATCTGAAAAAATTTATTTTCATGATATATTTTTTAAACTGGGTCTTAATGTGTACCCTGATTAGCCTGGAACTATGAAGACCAGGCTGACCCTAAACTCCCAGTAATCTACTTGCCTCTCCCTCCTGAGTATTGGGTCATGATAAGATTTTTTGAGTACAGGACCCTTATTATGAGAAGCACGTCCAGTTTGCCATGGATTTCCCTCATTGTGATAAGGTTATGAATCTGGCGAGCTAACTTCACAGAACATCATATCCAAAGGCAAATGGTGTCACTTTGACCTGATGTTGGTGCGGATAACACTGATTATATGGATAAAGTTCTAAACACTGCATCTGGTTTTTGTTGTTGTATTTTTTGTTTGTTTTGTCTTTTTTAGATTTTTAAATTTTTTTGTGTATATGAATGCTTTGCTTGCTACCCACAGAGATCAGAAGAGGGCAACAGATTCCCTGGGACCAGTTATAAACAGTTGTGACCCACCATATGGATGCTGTGAATTGATTATATTCAATAGGTTATAATCCATTACTCTAATCACTTTTTGTTGTTCAAGTACCCACATTTGGCCAGTGGAAGTCACTTTAAGGTGTGGGGGTCCTTGATGTCCTATCATTTTCTGAGTGGTTCCTTACTTAGAAGATACTCACCTTCAATTTAACACAGCCCTGGAATCAGTATTTGCCAAACGAGTTCTGGATCCTTTCAGTGAAAGATGGTATTTATTTATTTTTGGTTTTTTGAGAAAAGGTTTCTCCGTGTAGTTCTGGCTATTCTGGAACTCAGCCTGTGGACCAGGCTAGCCTCAAACTCAGAGATTCATCTGCCTCTGCCTCCAAATGCTGGCATTAAAGGCATGTGCCACCATTGCCTGGCTGAAAATGTTATTTAGAAACCAAGATTGAGTACTAGCTACCTACCCTTGACACCCACTCTGACTTAGAGGAAATTGGAAATTTGAGTACTTAATTAGGAACTCCCTCCACGAGTGTTAAGGTACCAAACAAAATGCGCACGGTGCATACTCAAAGGCAACTACGCGTCAAGACAGCACACCAGAAACTACTTCAAGGCAAATAAACACAAATTCTATGCCAGCAAAGTTGTCACATTCCAGCCACTGGAGGATACACACACCAGAGGAGCAGGCCAAGACACTGGAAATCAAGAGCAAGAGTGGTTGGTGCCATGCCCAGAATATTTCAACAAATATAAAACCTGATGAATACAAAACCAAAGATTTCTGACCCCGAGAAACAAAGCGAGCTCAGCTGGGTGCGTAGTAAGATGAGGACAGTGATGCTAATCTATCCATGACTGAAGGCCATCCATAGCTCTAGAAATCTGCCATCTGGAAACAATCTGGGAAAGCAGATTTTCCCAAGAAAAGTCCTTAGTTCCTAGGCCCTAACTCACGTGTAAGCCCCACATTACTGCCCACAAAGGCGATGAAGACCTGGAGGTGTAGCTTGATGGCTAGATTAGATCCCCAGCGCTGGAGAGCGAGCATAAAAAGTCCCCTACACTTTAATTACTTATTCAAACACAAATAATTGCAGAAACATCAGATTCCCAATGAGAAGATGCAAACACATATAAAAAACTTCAGAACATTCTACTTGGGGAAGGTAACCCAGCAACTTAAGTGAACAATCTGAAGACTGGACAGGTTCTACTTACCCTTCTTATTGGTTGTGAAGTACTTGGAGTCAGTCATGATTCTGGATCTTTAGAGTGTACCTATGGCAAGAGCAAAGAATGCTGTTAGCCAAAGTATGTCTCAGCAAGGCATCTGACTGACTTGAAGACCATCTATAGTTAAGACCTTTTAAACAAAAGGAGTAGCTTCTGTTAGCACCACCATTCCTGGTTCAAGCAGCCCAGGAAAGAAAAACTGCAACTTGCCTCAAGGAACTTCTAGGGCAAAGTATGCAGGACAAATGGAACAGGGTAATAACCTGAACCCCTTATGGCACTGTAGCCTCCAAGGACAAGCTTGTCACCTTTGTAAATACACCTTAGCCACTCACTCAAACATTTAAGTCACAAAGTCTTAGTGCCAAAGATTTCTCCATAACTTTCTAATCAGAATAAACCTGGTGACTCCCCTGCCTCAGCTCAAAGGCAGAAACAATTCTGCCAACCTATTAAACACTGCTGGTAAAAAGGGTCTCAAAAAATAAGAAGCCTGCCTTACTCCCAGCCCTGGAAGGTAGAGGCAGGAAGGCCAGGAGTTCAAGGTCATTCTCCTCAGCACAGCTACACAGTGACTTTGAGGTGAACCTGGAATACAGAAGACCCTGCCTCAAAAATAAAAAGGAAAGAAATGAAAGAGCTAGAAACCTTGAATACCACATAGACTACAGAAACTGTTTTGATGTTGTCACAGAGGTTTGCATTAATGCTTTCACATCTTTCTAGCAAAAATCCAGAAAATGCCATTATCAATCCATTCACAGCATCAGCTAAATAGAAAGCAGACAAATTAGGGAATTTTTTTTTTGCCTTTAAAGGTTTTTATTACTTACTTATGTATATGTGTGTGCACCTGTGTGTGTACCCATGCCAAAGAAGACCAGAACAGAAGCTGGATCCTGAAGCTAGAGTTACAGATGGCTGTGAGCCACCTGATGTGGGTGCTGTAAATTGAAACGGGGTCCTCCGCAAGAGCAGCAAGTGCTCTTAACCAGTGAGCTGCCTTGAGCTTTTTGAGACAGCTTCTGTAGCCCTGACTGGCCTGGAATTCTCTATGTAAAAGACCCTCTCCTCCTGCCCTCTGTCCAGGCACTGGGCTTACAAACATGCTACCACACACAGTTCTTTTTGGATTTTAATACAGGCCTCATGTAGCCCAAGATAGTCTCAAACTTGCTACATAGCTGGAGATGACTTGAATCCCACTTCTCCTGTCTCCACCTTCCAGGTGATGGGAATACTGGTGTGTGCCACACGACTGGTTGGGAATTCTTCACAGAACAGGCAGGAGGATCTCTGAGTTCAAGGGCAACTTAGTCTACAGATTGAATTCAAGGCCAGCCAGGGCTGCAAAGAAAGATCCTATTTCAAATAACGACAAACTTTTTTTAAGGATTTGTACTAGAAATCTTGTCTGTGAGTTTACACACACACACACACACAGAGAGAGAGAGAGAGAGAGAGAGAGAGAGAGAGAGAGAGAGAGAGAGAGAAGATGATGTGCAGAAAATCACTAGCGCCTGACAAGAGTGTTAGAAGCTGCCAGTCAAAACTTACTGTTTACACAGAATGCTGTTAAACCATTCTAAAGCCCATGGAATCATCAAAACCTCAAACTTATGATTTAAAAACAAAATCTGGAAGTTTTTCACCCAGTTACTTGGGGAAATTGCACAAAGCACTCTGCTTTCTAAAGCTAACATACACATATATAAGATTATTTTTTTCTTTTGTTTTGAGACAGGGTCTTCTCTGTGTCCTGGCAGGCTCCAAACTTGCTATAAAGACCAGACTGGCTTCATACGGTGATCCTCCTGTTTCTGCCTCACACGTGCTGCAATCACACGCGCCACTATACCCAGATAACATGACATTCTATGAGGAATTCTCAACATACTCTGCTCATAGTAAATCAGTCACCTTAAGTCATGTCTTTATTAACAGCCTACAAGTTTCATGATTTGTAGGATTCAATTCCCGCCACCCAACATGAAGACACATCACTGTAACTCTGGTTCCTGGGGATCTAAAACCCTCTTCTGGCCTCTCACACACATGGTACACTGACATATACATGGTATAACATCCAAAAACATAAAACATCAATTTTTTTTAAAAGCCTGCAACATAGATCCTAAACCAAGAATCTCTGCTCTGATGAAAAGAAATAAAGAGATATGACAGGGGAGGCTGAGGTAAGTCTAGGTAATATAATGAGACTTTGTCTCAAAAATAAAATAAAAAAATAAGGCTGGAGGTGGCTCAGCAGTGAAGAGCACTGGCTGCTCTTTCAGAGGAACTGGGTTCCGTCACCAGCTCACAACTATATCTGTAACTTCAGTTCCAGGAGACTAGAGGCCCTCTCCTGGCCTCTGGGGGCACTGAGTACACAAGTGCTATATGGACCTACATGTGGCCAAAATACCCATACACAAAATAAAATAAATAAAGAAGGGCACAGAGGTGGAGGGCTTGATCAATACATGGGAAACCCTGTGCTCAGGCCTCAGCACCAATTCAGAGCAGGGATATGGCTTAACGGTAGAGTGCTTACCTAGCAGGCATAAGACTGCTCTATCAAAAGAAAAAAAATTTTAAAAAGAGAAAAATAAGCAGGGAAATACATCACTCACTTAACTGACACCATGGTAAACAATTATGATGAAACAATCCCCTCATATAGGCAAAGAATCCTGCTGACAAGTCTATCCTTGCCTTAAGCAAAAGCAAAAACAAAAAAAAATCTCCAAGGAAAAAAATGAAAATAGTCTAAACAAAAGCAAAGAAAGAAGTAGAAAGGAAGGAATGGTGACAGACTGGATCTAAACACATTATATGCATATCTGAATATTAAATATTTAATTAAAAATGAGAAGCGGTAGTAATGGCAGAACCTTAATGTCACTGTAACTTTCAACTCAAAATAGTTAAATATATCTATTTTAAAGTGAAAAAGCCCAAGTACTTGCCAGATACACACACCAGCTTCTCCAAAGATATGAAAACTGTATCTAATATGCCTATATTAGAAACCACAGAAAAAGAGCCAGGACGGGAGCTGGAGAAAATACAACCTGCCTAGTGCTTCAAAACTCAAACTCCTACTGAAGTAAATCTTTGTTTTTCAGGAAACCCCTAGAAATAAGCAGGCCACAATGGAATCTGAACTCATAGGCACTTAAACAACGTCAAGCCTGAAAAGTCACTAGCTGATTGATGGTGTGGCCTAGGGACACTGGTAGAGAACAAAGCAGTCACCAGGCAAAGCATGTAATCACCTGCATTTGTCCTGGCCCACACTGTGATGCCAACGCCTTTCACAGGCCTCCCTGTACACGATTATAATCTATAGCAGCATAACCTAGTTTCTGCCAAATATAGACTGTCAAAGTCCCTCCCTCCAAGTCCCCAAAAGAGAAACTCAACATTGAAATAAGATTAATAGGCTGAGTATAATAAGGTCAGAAAAAAGTTAATAAGGTCTTAATTTCAAATGGTTCTCTGGGAAATGGGAACTAACACTAGCGTTGGCAAGGCGACTACGCCCTTCTTTGCATATAAAGTCACTAACCAGCCAAAGTTCGGGAACCGGAAAGCAGAAGCATCATTCCGGCAACCTCTGCTTACAAGGTTGAGAGGTGGAAAGATCCTATCTGGCCAAATGGTCAATAGCACAAGGACAATCGCACTTCAGAATAAATACCTTATCAGAAATAAAACGTAAAAGCCAGATTCATCTCCGGTTTCTATTTTAAAAACTAAGTTAATTCATTAATATAGCATTATACTTTAAAAAAGCCCAATAATTATGAAAATGCCAAGGTATTTTGGGAAACAAGCCTGGGAGGAAAGAAAAAAGGGGATGGTATCCTCTCTGAATATTCCTTGTCTGACTTGGTTCGAACTTGGGCCTAAGGCATAATAGTTTAAAATGATGGTCCTTTTCAGAAGAAAAGGATGTAAGGGAACTTCTTTGAGGCCTCATTGGTCAAAACATTTGCTTTATATTAAGTTTAATCACCCACCTTTAGGGAGGCTGTTTGCAGAACACACTCCCCTTCATTTCTCGGGAGTCTGCCCTGCAAGACACCCGCAACCAGCTCCAGTTTTACACCTCAATTAGTCACCACTGAGCTGTGTTACCCTCCCTGCACCGCCTTCACCTGCCGCTTTCTATTATTACTCTCTAAGTGCACCCTAAGGCTAAGCACAACTACACAAGGAAGGCAATTAATAATTTAAGTGCTCCTCACTGAGAGCACTTTCGAAGTCAACTTGCCTTTCTGAACTTATTGTGTGTCCTTTGTCTTTTAAACCACAATGGTTGCAAAACTGTTTGGCGATTCAAACCCCCCCTCTCCCTTCTAAAAGTTAAAAAAAAATTCAATGAAGCATCCATGACACATCCATGCTACTTCATAATGAAGTAAATAACCTGAGTTTTATAGGAGCCCTCCCCTAAACAGAAGGCTGCTCAGAAAGCTAATGCATTCTGTGAATTCAAAGAATAAAGAAATAGCAGGAAATTCCAGTTTTTTCACTTCTAGTAGCATTTACAACCTTGCTCAAACTAGACTGCTCCTGATAACTACAGGGAAGAAAAGAGGAGAAAAAAAAATTTCGGACTAAGATTTACTTCCATTGGCTTCCCCCTCTCACACAGGGGGTCAATTATACAGGTTTCACCTTCCTTCCTCGAAGTACATTTAGTCCCCTTTTCTCTTTACCAGTCAAGACTCTGGAGATCTGTTCAGTTTTCAGCAGGTAGGGAGAGGTGCCTCTAAACCCCAAATACGGGCGACAAGAGGTTTCCGTGGCCAAACCGTCGAGGGAATCCTTTCTCCCTTTGCTGTGCCGGACACGTCCCGGCTTCTCAATGAACAGTTGACAAACGGGAAAGCAGGGAGGTTCTCCCTCGGCCTCCAGCCGCTAGCGGCCACACCCCTGGCCTCAGCCCTCTCCCACTGGGGCGCTCCGGAGCCCCCAACTACCAGCTGCTGCACCCGACCGGGCCACCACGGCCACCGCGGAGGAGGCACTTTCTCCAGGCTTCCCCCTCACAACGGTCACACCCGAGGACTCCCTCCATCCTCAACCGTCACGCTCCGCGGATCTCTCTTTCCTCCCGCGCCTACGACCGGGCTTGGGGTTCCCCTCCCTCACAACCACCCCCAGTCAGTCAGGGACACACCCCAAAGCCAGCCGCCTTGAACTTACCGGAGGCAAGGGCGGGGTGGCGGCGGCAGCCGGAGAGCACAGCCCGGGTGGTGGTGTAATGGTTTCCTGCCCGTCACGATTCTCTCTAGATCTAAGCCACTGCGCAAAACCCAATTTGCCAGGGACAAAGATGGTGGGCCGGAAGCTTTGGCGTAAGAGAATCTCGCCGCGTGACGTCATCCGGGTGCGCGGAAGAACCGAACAACCAGGCTGTGTCTCTGTTGCCCCGGCAACGGAAAGGTTTCCGTATCTCTGGGTCAGGGAATTGCCTATCGATCAAGGTTTTGAAAGCCAAAGTGGCTTTCCCAAAGGATATGCTAAATTAGTGGATATTCTCGGCATTTATTTCCGTGAACAAGAATTTTGTAAAGTCTGGGTGAGATACCCTATTTTCTTAAACACAAACCTCAGGTAATCTGTCGGACTCAGAAGTCTGTAGGCTATAGAAACCGACTGACTACATGACCAGAGGAACTAGGAGATAGCGACTTAAAGAGTCTAAGAAATATTCAGAGCTGAGTTCGAATCTCCATATTGAATATCACTGGGGAAACTTAATAGCGCCCCATCCCACCCCACCCTGCTCACGCCCTTCGTCTTGGTACTTAAGTGGTGTAAGCTACCACTTTAAAAACAAGAAACACGTGTCAGACGATGTCGCTTAGGGTAGCCAGCAACTGGAACCCCTCTTGCTTCTGCCTCTAGCGTGCTGGAACTCATCTTTTTTTGAACTTTGAATCTATATACCTTAGAGGCTCTTCTGCCCTGCTGCTTTTGGCTTCTCTCACTTCACCATTAAACAAATATTTATTAAGGACTACTACAGAAATCCAACTTTTTTATTTTTGTAACAGTCCTAGCTGTCCTGAAACTCGTTTTGTAGAGCAAGCTGGCTTTGAACTCACAGAAATCGAAGCAAGCCTGGTCCACAGTGAGTTCCAGTACAGTCAGGGCTACACAAAGAAGTCCTTTCTCAAAAAAAAACAAAACAAAACAACAACAACAAAAGTATAATCAAGTTTAGCTACTTTTTGAGAATGTATTACATAATTTCCTATGTACATATTTATTATATATTTAAGATCTCCAAAACTGATGGTCAGGCTTAGCCTTTAATGCCTTCTAAAAGAAAGGTCAATCACTTATGTGTCTTCTATTAAACTACACATTTGAGAGTGAGGTTTTTGATGTATTATTTGTTTACTAAAACATGGCACATTACCAAAGTAAAATAAAAATTGACACCATTTTTTTTCTCAGAACTGGGGATGGATCCTAGGGCTTCATACATGTTGGGCAAATACTGTACCAATGAGTTATATCCCCAACCATGACATACTATTTTTAACTCTGTTCCTTTTCTCATGTAATAATCAGCTTCCTTTTTAAAGAGTAATTTCATAGATCCATTCATCTAGATGTCTTGTTCTTCTAAGAATGAAATGAGACTCTAAACCAAGATTATTCAACTGGATTTTCTTTTTTCTCCTCCTTCCTCTCCCCCCCCCTTTTCATTTTTCAAGATAAGATCTCACTGCCCAATCTCTCAGGTGCTGAGATTACCTGTGGGTGCCAGCACTTCCTGTCAGTTAAAACTGGACTCACCAGCACAGCAGCGCTTGATACTCATTCATTGTAACAAGGTTACCTGGATGAAATTTTGCTAATTCCTGCTATGGAACTCTAAAATGGTTAAATAGTCCTGTTCTTTTTGGGCTATCTTATTTTTGTGAGTATGGGCTACATAGTGATTACCAAACCAGCCATGGACAGGTACACAGCAAGAAACATTTTAAAGCTAAAATAAACATTTTTTAAAAAAAGTTACCTTTTAGTAATTCAAAAGTTGCACTTCCTGACAACTATTTTAGTAAAGTATAAATCATATTCTAGAACTATAAAGGTAACTTCTAAAATTGAAACAACTAAGCCCAACCTTAAAACGGTTCTCATTGTATAAACCAATTGCCTACTTTTACACTCTAAGATCCTAAGGTCTTTTTAGCCAAGGAACTGGCAGTTATCAGGGAGACGGTGAACTCGTCCAAATTCCATTAACCTCCACCCACAACTCAAACGAAGTAAAGTATACAATCTGGACTTTGCAAACCCTTTGGCAGATTACTTTTTGTATACAAACCCTAGTCTATCAAAACTCCGCTCCCGCTAGACTATCAGGATTGCTACAGTGTATTGGTGTCGCTAACAAGGCATATCTACTGGCCCGGAGGGCAGGAACAAATTTCTTCTAGCAGAATGTGTCTAGAGTAGTAACTTAATTTTACACATGGAAGACAATTTAAGCTACCAGCCTAAGCTACCAGTAAGAAAAGTAATCGTCCTAATTCTGGTGAATAATGAAAGACCCCCAGCTTACAGTTTGCAGCTTCAGCCACCTCACAAATATCCTGCTTTGCAGCCAGAGGCCCTGACCTCACAAATATCCTGCTTTGCAGCCAGAGACCCTGACCTCACTCTGTACTTAAATTGTTTGTCAAGAGCCTTGTAAAATGATGTTACAGCAGTTAAGCTGGGGTCCTATATAGGGGGAATTGTTTCTTTTGTAAACTGCTGATATTTTAGGCATCCTATTTTCCTACGCGACCGGGATGAAAGTGGCTAGCTGCAGGTCCTGAGAGGGTCCTGAGGGTCTCAAGCAAACAGGATGTTCTCATGAGAGCCGGCTAGCTGCAGGTTTGGGGGGGGGGGGGTCTGTAGGGTCTTTCAGATGGGGTGTCGGGCAGGGGCCCCAGCTCTGCAGAGAGGCTGGAGTTTGGCCCTCCACCGAAGCCTCCGCGCAGAGATGACCAGGAACAAACCCACCCACCACACTAGCCAGTCGCCTCATTAAAGTCAGGAGGACGGAAGCGGAAGTCCCGGTTGGTCATAGAGTTCCCTGGTTCCGGCTCAGAGCCACAGTCGATGCTAGAGCGCCTGTCTTCCGCCCGAGGTGCGGAGGTCCTCGGAGCTTCTGTTTCCGGGTGCGGCGTCTGTCACAAAGCCTAGACCTCCCTTCGCAGGTGGCGTCACGGTCCTCTGCACCGCGCCCGAGGTCAGTAAGCAAGGACGGGCGCTTCCCAGCGTGCGGCGGGCGCCGGGCCTAGCAGCTCCGAACTGCACCTCGAGCGACACGTTCCTTGGCTCACACCTGGCTCCGAGTCACGGTCTGCCCTGTGAGGTGCAGCATTTGACAAGTCATTCCCCAACCCCCACATGCCACGTCCCGAGCTTCGGAATTAATTCACAGCCCTCAATTTTGAGACTCCCTCCCCTCGGCCTCCATAAGTCTTTTTTTTTTTTTTTAAACCCCAGTTGAGTTTGCTCGTGTAAAATTAAATTTGGAGTTTCGGGTGCCATGCAGAAAGATTAAGACTCAGCACCCGTTTGGTAGAAATCAAGTTCATGCTCCTTAGAGTGTTTGTGGGAAACGTGACTCCCAGTACACACAGGATACTATGGCTGAGCACGGGGCTCATATCACAACTGCTTCGGTGGCGGACGACCATCCATCCATCTTTGAAGTGGTAGCGCAGGACAGTTTAATGACAGCGGTGCGACCCGCTCTTCAGCACGTGGTCAAGGTAAGGTGTTATTCCTCTGAAAGGTTTCAGGAGCGAGTGGCTACAACTCAAAACACCTTATTAGTAGTTAAGAGTTTGCAATGACCAAAGTGTCATTCATATCCATGGCTTAATTTGCATCCAAAGAGCCCTGTACAGTTTCTAGGACCTCAGGGAGCTTAGGCTATACCCCCAAAGCGAGTTATTTCAGCTAGGTGTGTTGACTTTAGAAAGAATAAGCTAATGTGAACACAAACGGAAGACGGTCCTGAAATGAATCTTGTTTTTTGCTTCAGGTTCTTGCAGAATCCAATCCTGCACACTATGGCTTCTTCTGGAGGTGGTTTGACGAAATCTTCACCCTGCTAGACCTTCTGCTCCAGCAACATTACCTTTCCAGAACCAGTGCCTCATTTTCTGAACATTTCTATGGCTTAAAGCGGATTGTAGCAGGGAGCTCACAGCAGCTCCAGCGACCAGCCAGCGCTGGGCTTCCCAGGGAGCACCTTTGGAAGTCCACCGTGTTCCTAGTTCTTCTACCCTATCTGAAAGTGAAGCTGGAGAAGCTGGCTTCTAGCTTGAGAGAGGAGGACGAATACTCTATTCACCCCCCTTCTTCTCACTGGAAACGATTCTACAGAGCCTTCCTGGCGGCCTACCCATTTGTTAACATGGCCTGGGAAGGCTGGTTTCTTACACAGCAACTTAGATACATCCTAGGAAAAGCGGAGCATCACTCGCCCCTGCTGAAACTGGCTGGAGTTCGGCTAGGTCGACTGACAGCTCAGGACATGCAAGCTATTGCACACAGACTCTCTGAAGCCAGTGCGATGCAGGACCCCGTCAGAAGGTAAGACCTCAACGTTGTCTAAAACCCTTCCGTTAACAAGATTTAAAGTTGTACGTCAATCATCCGGTTAGCACCAGTTATTAATGACATGACATTGTCATAGCAAAATCACTCCTCACATCCATAAACAAGGACCACCTTTCTGGTAATGTTTCTCATAATAGGTACACCTTGCTGCGTGCCTGGTGTATGCAAGGCTCCATGGGAGGTATTTACTTTGTGTACATTATCTTATGCCTCATCACAGACTGCTAAGTTAAATGCAATGGCTTCAGTGAATAGTTGGGGAACCAACAGATAGAAGACGCAGAACCAAGACTCAATGCAGAACAAACAATTCTAAATAATGTTTTCCTTTTTCTTTTTTTGAGACAGGGTTTCTCTGTGAAACAGTCCTAATTGTCCTGGAACTTGCTCTTGTAGACCAGGCTGGCCTAGAACTCACAGAGATCCACCTGCCTCTGCCTCCCGAGTGCTGGGATTAAAGGTGTGCGGCACCACCGGCCTGGCTTAAATGTTCTTATCCATGATGCTACACCACCTCTAGCAATGCTTATTCTCCCAAAAGTTCAAAGATAGATACATCTCTTCGCCGCTAAATTCCTTTTTAGGTCAAATATTTCTTTTTCTTGGTGAATTATCTTCCATCTTAAAATTCTATAAATTCATCTTTAATGCCTTCCTCAGATCAAAGCCTAATCCTTTGTTGTTAAAAACAGCTGGGGGCACTAGAGAGAAGGCACAGTGGTTGT